TCGGTCGGGGGGCTTCACGCACCCGCCGCGACCGGCGTCTGTCGGGCGGGCTGCTCGGGAGGCGGCCCGGAGGTGAAACAGGCCAGGGCGCAGGCTCCAACCTTCATTTTCTAGCCCAGGCCTGTTAGGAAAACGATGTCCCGTAAGAACACCGCTCCTCCTGAGCATGGTTCCTACATTTCCAAAACAAACATTTAACCTTTTGTTCTTGAGCAGATACTCTCAGACGATTGTTTGGAACCAATTTCTTCCTCAGTCACAACATGGACTCCTCAGCATTTGTGGGCAGTGTTGAAGTTGGGTTCGCAGTTGCCCTGTCAAAATTAAACATTGGTGTTTTGCTTCCCTAAGTGTTATGCTTTCAGCAAGAGCCCAGTTCTGGTAGCTGCAATTGTCACTGCAGGCCACCCCAGCAGCTATAGCAACCGTTCCTGAAGCTGTCAGGTCATCGGCACAGAGCAGCTGCAGGTCAGAGCAGCTTTGTCGGGATCGGTATACCCTAGCCTTCGACCTCACTGCCCAGGACAGGCACCGCACCTCGGTTACCAACCCTTTCATTCATCGTCCCAATATGCATATCAAATTCTGAAATTTAAATGTTGCCACCCTCTTGTCCTTTCCTTGTACGGAAAGGATCTGGATGGTCTTCTGTATTATTTTGGGTTTGTTAGTTCAGTTCCTGTTCACTGTAGTTCAGTTTCCACTGATAAAACTCGCATAACTCTTATCTTCTATGTTAGTGTCACAAAAGCAAAGAATTAAGTTCTTTGTTAGTGACAGTATTACTGAACCATTTTTTTTATGAATTCTGTGACGGAGGGTTTCCAGACAATAAGAACTCTGCTTAAACAACTCCTGGCTGCACAGGCAGTCTGCATTTCACTAAGTAATATTACGAGCAGAAAACAATTTTAAAACCAATCTATCCAGCTATTTAAGTTATTATAGTAGCACACTAACCCACTGTTCTTTGGTAGAACAAGCTTACCTTTGTTCAGGGAGTGAAAGGATGGAGAACATAAACAGCAGCAGCAGTGTACAGGACAAAAGACGTACTATGAAAAACTCAGGCAGGGGATTGTTTTGAGATCTTTTAGCTGTTTAACCGGATTTTTTAATTATTTTTTTTAGCCAGCCTATCAAAATTTGCGGCAGAAAGTAGACAACTTTGTATCGACCCACCTGGACAAACAGGAATGGAATCCAGCAATGAACAAAAACCAGTTACGAAATGGGCTAAGGCAGAGTGTGATTCAGTAAGCAAATAACATTCTGTAAAATAATCATAATGCTGTTTGATAGGTGATGAGATAAAATAGTTATATATTACTTAATTCTCCAAATTCTTATTTAAGTTTTTGAGAACACTTTTGCTTTCTATTATAATAGTGGATGCAATCTTAAGTCTTGTTAAAATGCTTTCATTATTGCTTTACCTGAAATCTCTATTTTCATGAGTTTAGCAGCATGGTGAAGTACTCATTTTCACTGTCTAGCCAAGTTATCACTGCAGATAACCAGCACTGTAGCTGCTAACCAGACTGTACCTCATGTGCTGAGCTGAATGACCTTGATCTTTATTTTCAGAGAAGAGCCTACATCACTTAAAGAAAAAATCCTGAAGATCCAAAGCTTGTTTAAGTAGACTCTGACCCCTAGCAGGGAGTAATCAAACTGGGCTAGCCTGATTTCATGCAGCAGAGGGTAGCTTTTGTAAAGCTATTTAAGATACATTTCCAGCATGACAGGAAAGCCAGCTTAAACTATGCTGCTTAGAGATTTAGGTTTAGTATCTCTTGCTGCTAACTCATTGCAGTCTGAAGTGTGAGCCTTAGCTTGTTTGACTAAATGAATAAAAACTTCCCAGTAAAGGTTGTGGGGAGAGGGGCAGTGGAGAACTTCATAATGGCATTTATGCTTATAAGGAAAGCTGTTAGAATATCTCACACACAGAATAGACTGTATTTCAGAGCACTTAATAGAAATAGTAAGTCATTAGTGTGTAACATTAGTTTGTTTAATCTGTAATTAGAGGAGGGGATGTTAACTGGAAGTACAGAATTTCCTGCCTTTGCTTGCAGACCTTGAGACATGTTTGTCCCTGAATGCTGTTTCTCATTTCATATTACCCTACCACTAGGATGAAGCAGACAATTGAAAAACGTTGTATCAGACAGCCTGTAATGAGACGAATGTAAAGTACTTCGTTTAAGTAGGCTATTAGTATAAAGACCAGACACGCAGTATTACGGAGTTGAAGAGTCCCTGTCACTCCTGTAGCTGCAAGACTGAGCGCTGAGGGTGCCAAGACGTGTATGTCCTTTGCTGCATGCACGTATACATGTGCTGTTACCTGGAGGTGACATGATGTGCCATGACCCTGCACCCACTCGCTCACCAGCATTGATGGCCTTGTTAGTCTTGTGGCTCCTTCTCCAAGGGCCGGGCAAGGTCTCCATTTTCCGTCCCCTGCTCCCTTGCAGACATGACTTAAGCCTGCCAGACAGCCTGTGCCCCACAATCCAAGAGTCTGACGCAGCCCCTGAAGTAATAAGTCACTTCAATTACTAGTGTTCAGTTCCAGAAACTTTTCTGTGTGCTACATGTGCTTGTTTTTATAATTAATACCCATCTGTCTAGACTAGCAGTTATAAGGAGTGACAGTAATGTTATTAGGGGGGAGGCCTCTCCTCCCTCAAGTCAGCCAAAAAAAAGACTGTGCTTTTACCTGCCCGCCTCCTCAGAATAGCTTGTTGCCCTTATTTGTGCCAAAATATGTTTGTTTGCTTTCGTGTTGACCTCATTTCCACATGAGCCCTATTAAAGTAGCTCTTGTCCAACATGCCGTTTAAGTACCTGGGAGACCAGGTGCCAGTTGTTAATTCTGTAGGGAGAAGTGAGATGGGGGTGGGGGGAAATAGGTGATTGAAACAACTCCCTGTTAAGGATCTGCCGAGTGGACTGCAGTTCTCACCATGTTCATGCTAATTGCAGTTGACAGGAGAGCTCTGGAGAATTACTGGAAGAGACTGGGGAGAAGTTTTTCAGAGGAGCTGAATGACCTCTTTGTCTTTGTTCAAGGTCAGGAATGCTGGAAGCTGGAGTGGACAGAATTATTTCTCAGGTGGTGGATCCAAAACTAAACCACATCTTCAGGCCTCAGATAGAGAGGGCAATTCATGAATTTTTGGCTGCACAAAAGAAAGAGGAAAGTGTGCCAGCTCCTCCTCCTCCAGAGCCTGAGAATAAGGATCCTCCTGCTCCATCTCAGGATGCCTCCTAAAGGTCTTGTATCTCTGCACTTACTGCTTACATTTTTCATGTATCTCATCTCTGTATCTTGTATAATGCAAGACAGAGAAGACATTGTATTCTTCCTGGCTTGACAGGGAAGACACTTTGATCATCAGCATGTTGTCAATGTCAGACAGTCATCTGAGCTGCTTCCACTTTAGTGTCTGCTAAAAATATATTAGGCCTGAAGACATAGGTATGATGTAAAACAACTATCAAGGAAGACTGTGGACTCTGCCAGTGCTGGTTTTGGATCAGGCCAAAGGCCTTTTATTCCTGTGAAAGCACATCCAGCAGTGGTTGACATGGAACTGGCTGTCTAGCTTTCAGAACAACATCAAATGGGTTAAAAATATATATCCTTTACTGAAATACAGCTGAAAGTAGAGTGGTGACAAGTTATTGTGCTTTAGCGTTGAAAGTTTTAGATAGCTCTTCTTTACAACACATACTGGAGTGTTGAATTGTTAGTGGCTGAAATGTTCACTGCTGGAGTAAGGGTAATGTCTCTGGGAGTGAATAGCTGTTCATTCCAAATGACTGGTTTAAACAGAGCAACCTGTAGCTTTCCAGCTAAAAGGACTGAGGGTGCCTTTGTTGCAAATAAGTTCGTTCTGGCTTTTGTGATTAAAATAACTTGTTGCTTAGCGTTGATTTGAATTTCGAGGCCTGTGTGCACATTACTGAGGGACCACTATCTCGATGGAAAATTTCAATCATCTCCAGCTTTGCTGGGGAGCTTAAAACCATGCTGCATTAAAGGAAGTTAATTGTGAATTACTCTATCTGCTAGGGCTTTGTGAAAGCAAAAATTTTCCTCATAATCTACAGCTGATTTATTAAGAAGGAATAAGTAACCTACAATAGCTGTTCGTATGCTTGGAATTATTAGATCAATTAGCATGAAGTTAAAGTGCCTGTGGTGTCATCCTGAGTTATTTAGTTATCTGTGACTTGCAGCCTTAATGCCTTGATAGATCTTTGCATTTGTCCAGTTAAGGTAGCTTAAAGTCCGTCATCACCTGCAGCTAAGTGCAGCTGTTAATTAATACCTTCTAATGTATTCTCTGTTTAAATGCATTTACTGGTGAAGGTACTATCCTCCAAACTCTCTTCTTTTTTTGTCTTTCAGTGAGTTCCTGATACTAAGCAGCTGCAGAATACGTGTCCTGTTAGATTGGCAATGGAATACTTGTTCCATTTGGTGCAGGATTGCTGTCTGCCAAAGATGATTTACCTTTGTCAGACCCGTGGGAAGGCATTGAAATCGGTGAAATTCAGATGCACCTGGAGTTCTGCCTGTGGAGGGACAGCCAAAATGTGAAGATACTTTTGCTATCAACAGCAATACCGAGAGCAGCATGTATTCTTGTTTGTCATGCCTTCGGGCAAGGGGGTGGGAAGAAAAAGGGAGCTGGCTCTTGTCTGGAGGGAGCAGGGAAGTGGTTTGAGATGATACTAGCCTTGGGAGCAGGAGGAAAAGAAAGGTGTTTTGGGGGGTGGCGTTGTCTCTTGGAGACCAAGTAAGAGTGGTCAGGTTTTCTCTGATGTAAGCCAGATAAGAGGAAGCGTCATACACCTCTGCTGTGTAACACAGCAGTGAGAGTAGGTGCCAAGTCAGGTGTAACTCATTGCACTGCCTGCTTTACGAAAGACATTTCCTGTTTAAAACTGGAAACAACACTTCAGGATCAATTATCTAGGTAATTTCTGTTGTACTGCAGGAAAATGTTTACAGTTAGCTATGACTATAGCTGATTTAATTCTTATTTCCCAGGTAACTGGGGGAAGCAAAGGGCAACCAGAGTAGGTGATCAGTTTGAAACTTGTCTCTTTCAGCTTGACTTTTCTTTCCCGTGAAATTTCTCAGGTGTCCAGTGGAAACTGTCCTATGCTTTCAGTTTGAATATGTGCAGTGTCCTCTGGATGACAGTCAAGTAGAGAATGTGATCAAATATTCTGCCAGCAGATGTCCATACCTTTTGCAATAAAAGACTTCAAAAAGCATCTCTTGACTCCTAGCTTTTTCAGATTTCTTATGGAAAAACTACTTTAAAGAAATCCAGTAGTCCTGATTGCTGGAACTCTAATGGAAGTGTGACCTCACACAGTTCATAGATTAATCCAGGTCTGACAACATGGGGTTATTAGTAGAAGTTACCATGAAATAAGATGGATATTAGTACACCTCTCCATACAAGGCATCTCTCAAAAAATCTAAAGTATCAAAGAACTGAACTGACCTTACCTGGTATCATTTGAGGTATAAATTCTGAGTAAATTCAGTTCGGTGTTAGTGATGGTGAAGGCCTGTTCAACTTTGTGAAAACAGTGCACTGCTGGCAATAGGGTAGAGCTATTCCATTGTTTTTCCTTTCAGACAGCATTCTTTTAAGCTAATAACTGCCCATGTTAATAACTGCCTATGTCATTGAATAACACATTATAATCTTTGAATCCTTGCTATTCATGGGCTGCATACCTCAACTACAACCTTCCCCCCAGGCCTTGTATGTGAACAGATGCAGTTCTAGCTATACTCTGCTCACTTTTCGAAACAGGTAATTTGCAGGGAGGATTGATGCTGTGGTTTAATCTTGCAGCAATTTTATTTCGCTTAGTACCTCCTCTCAACACAGTTATATGCCGAAATGGAGATGACAACATCTGGTATTTTAAATCCTTCACAAGAGAGCTCTGTGAACTTCACCACTGCAGTAAGTTTGCACTCTGCACAGTTCTGTATAGTCCTGCTGACACATGATTCTTCTGTCAATATTTTTATCCCATTTAAGAGTGTTCTTCTCAGAATGGAAATTTAAATACCTGTACTTTTTAGTGATAACTATATTGGCCACAACCTTCCTGATATGGTTTGAAAAATGTACTTTGGGATGATCTGGTTGTGTGGCTTGACTCTCACCGTTACGCAATCTGTGTTCCTCCTAGAAGACAGGACAAGGGGTACAGGAGGAAAGGGTTCTCTCCTGCATGTTGATTTGGTGGTTAAAGACAGCTCTCCAAATCAGTAATAGGTATTTTCCCTTAGAGCCTTAAGGGTAGCTCTTGGCAGGAAAAGATCCATCTTTTAGCTCCTGGTAGGGTGTCTTGACCACTTTTTTGAAACTGAGCCAGTTATGCAGGGAAAAAAAAGTCAAGAGTCCAGAAAGAGCAAGTGAAAAGGATTCTAACTGTTCTTAGACAAAGTCTGGATTACAGTAGCAGTAGGGAGCAGGGACATCAGTTCAATTTGAAAAAGTACAAAGCAGAGCTGGGTTTATTGCAACAAAGAGGGAATCAACCTGTGTTTCCTACCTCTGACAAGTGCTTTAGCAGCTGAGTGAAGGAGAACAGATTCGGTCATCGTAGTTTTTAAGAGGTTTTTTCCATTCTTCTCTCTTTGAATGTGGTGCTGCGTTAAACTGAATTCTAACTAGCATACACTAACATACTGCTCTGCCCTGTGGAAGTGCCGGAGTCCAGAGCCTGCGGGAGCCAGCCTGGCTCGGTAGGCAGGTTCTAGGTTAAGAACTGGGAGGTACAAGTTCTATGCAGAGTCCTGCGAGCCCATACCCCTGCCTGCGACTAGTTGTTTTACCTGTTTGCTTGCCTGTAAAGTGAAGATCACTTTACTCTCCTATGTAAGTCCTGGAGGGGGGAGGGAGTTAGGTGCTGTAGTTAGGCCCAATACAATGAAAACAGAAGGAAAGGAATGCACACATCTATACGTAGAGACTGGTATGTTGTGATATACTGTACAAGTCTTAAGGGTTGGACATTATAGCTGAAGTCTCATGGAATCATCTTGAAATCCACAACTTTCTGGCCAAACAGGAGTTTTAATTATGCCACTTAGTGTCAGATTCCAGAATTGGAAGCAGACAAATTGAACTATGAACCAATGAACCCAGTTTCATGAGCCCCGTGAAGGATGAAAAAAAACCCATCCAAACCCTCAAACCTATCTGGAAAGATTGCACTGCCATGCGTCAGTCAATCATCCTGGCACTTTTCCATCACAGCATACAAGGCAGTGCCTGAAATTCTAGCTGTTGCTTACAGTAAAGCAAAAAAACCCACCCTGATCATGGGGCGGGGGGGGAGAAGAAGGGAGAGCAGGGTGCATTGATGATGGCCACCCAAAAAGCCATGAGCAGATGTGAGCTTGCTCCCCTCCAGCACTGCCTCAGCTGCTGTACTTTCCTGGGCTGCCTTTGGGGTTGATGGATCACTCTGGTCACTTAAGCCAGAGCACAAGGAACTGGGGTGTATTAATGAACTTTCTCCAGCTGACCCTTTGGGCAAAAGCAGGCCTGAGAAGTTAGTCTGGACACCAGCTTTATGGCCCAGATTTTTGTAGGTTTCCTGCAAAGCTGGGTGTCCCAGAGGATTTATAACCTACGTATCCAAGTCCCAGCAAAACAGAAAATGCTGCTGTCCTGCACTCTGGATAGCCCCAAACTTCACTGGATACATAATTCTTACACAGACATTGAACTCTAATGCTCTTTAGTCAAAGACAAGTAGAACTGGGTTCTCTTGAGCAAACTAACTAAATTCTACAGTCTTACTACAGAAAATAGAGAAGAAGGGGAGGCTCTCTTAGTTGTTCTACTTCTCATATTATGCAAACATCTCAGTTCAAGTGTTACTTGCAGCACTGCAGAACTTTTCTTACTTTTCCACTACCTATTTTCCCTTCTTCACATCAAAACTTGACTGCAGCCTTACAACAGTTCTGATGGTTTTTTCGACAGTCCCAAATGCTGTCATGTTAGAAAAACTGAGAGCAGAAGTCCATTGTCTTTCCCTCATTATTTCTGAAAAATTTATATGTAATGCATACCGCCAAACACACAAGGCAATCTAGATGGAATCACGATGATGTTATTTTTATGAATATACATGCTTTGGTCCAAGAGAAACTTAATTATAAGTACTGAATGGGAGTTAAATGATTAATAACATGTTAAAACACATTCTTGAAGTAAAACTGATTCTTGCTATAAATAATTAATAGACATTTTAGGGTGGCTGTTTTTTTTTTCCAACTTCTCATACAAGTGAGAAAACTCATGCATAAAATAAATGGATGCTCCCCGAGACACTTGCTGTGGAACTGTTCTGTGACAACTACTCCAGAGCTGCTTCTTTCAATTTAACCTGAAAAAGATTACCAACAGTGCAAAATAGTCACTGCAGCTCCTGACCATCTTAACAAGACCACAGTTCCACCTTAGCCTGGATTTTGGACACGTGCATTCTTCAAGCCCTTTTGCAACTCCAGAGCAGGTTCTTGAGCAGCTCATTTGGTTCAGGCTCAATATTACAGCATTGATTTAACATCATCAGTTCAAGAGACATCTCACCATCAGGTAGTGATGCTGCTATGTGCCAAAGAAGGAGTAACTCACTGAGCAAAGACTCAAGCCCAACCAGTTCTCTGCCCTCATCAGCAGTTTTACTAGTATCTAGTCCACTGACAAGTCAGACACTGAACCAAGTAGACTTCACCAGAAGCAGCAGAATCAAAATTGCCATTTTAGATTTAGTCCCTGCCTAAAACCGTCCAATATTTTCCAGTGACAGTTCTTCCATTTGTAACCACATCCCCTCCTAGAGTTGGCACGATGTCTCCGCCTGGTAGAGCTGAGCCCAGCCCAAGTCTCCAGATCAATCCCCGAGTGACTGCAAGCAGATTTTTTAGCTCAGACCCCTGTAACTAAACACCTAAATCCAGGCAGATCTGGTGAAGGGAGGACAGCCAAATGGGA